CTTCATTACCCAAGAAATTTCCTAATCATTTAACCCAGAACTAGTCTCCACACGCTTTCCTCTTATCCACCGATCTGATCCAACGGCTGAGATTCCACCGGAGATTAGTACGACGACTCTCGGTTTCCGACGAATCCTTGAGAGAAGTGATATTGATCTTTCTGATCAATCAATCACTTGAGGCGGCTTGTGAGACTTTTGTGTGAAAGCTTCCGATTTTTTGTTTCTTTTTTCTCTTTGGTTTTGTCCGAGACAAAGCTCTTTCTCTCTCTTTGGGGNCAATTATACTATTTTTTTCTTCTCAACTTTTCAGTATTTTTTTTACCAGCAATTTTTTATAATTGTGTTCGGCTTTCAAGTTCCAAGTATCTAAAATCTGATTTTTGGACTCCCATGCAAAATATATTAAATTATACTATATAATCTCTTCTTCTTGTGTTCGGTTTTTAAAAAATTGAGACCGGTGTAAAAAGTAATTAAGTAAAAGCACTAAACAAGCAAAAGATGGTGTAATGATTTTTTTCACCTTTTTATCAACAAAGAAAGTATCGTAGTCGAAGGTGTGTACTGAGAAAAATGGCATGTGAATTTACGCAGTGCCCAATGAATGCAATATCAGAATTTTTTATTTATTTTCGTATTGTACATGTTACGTAATCAACTGACCAAGTATTTAATATTTGCCTATGAACTACCAATTTATATAGTTTTTTGTCAGTTTCCCCCCCCCCCCCCTAAAATGTGTAATTTAGTTGTTTGATAAAAACAAAAATCAGTTTGCTCGTTATAATTTTGCTTAACTTTTGATACTTACAAATTAAATTGATAAATTAAGTAGGTGAAAAAACTAGTCATGAGTTATTAGAGCATGATTATAGGTGGGTAATAAGAGTAAATATAGGAGTTTTTAAAATATAAAATTATTAAAATTTGAGTAAAAGGATGAAAGAGAGTGTTTTTTGGGTGTATTGAAATATAAAATTAATAAAATCTGAGTAAAAAGAGGAGATAGTGGATATTTTTTGGAGAGAGGGTATGTATAAGTTGTATGGGAAGAAACTTTTAGAGAGGGGTTTTAGGAGTGTTTCAATATAAAATTAATAAAAGTTGAGTAAAAAATGAAAAAGAAGATATAAAGTTGAGTAAAAGGAAGAGAGAGTGTGTGTTTTAATAATTTTATATTTAGAACTTGCTATATTTACTATGGATAATTATGCCCTTCAAAACAAAAAAAAAAGTTACCGTTCCGTTGTCGGACCCAAATCTTAGTTAAACAATTCCAACTTTTGTTGGTGAACAAATAACAACTCCGAAATATTGAAACAGATTTAAATTTATCAATTTTCACTGTGGGATTTGTCGTGTAGCGAAATCGCATTTTGTTTTGTTGTTTCTGGGTATTTCTGATTTAACGAAACTATAAACCCATTTAATGCAATGTTCGTCTGATTTTGTTGACTTTGACCTTTTGGTATTATTCGTTTCAGCTTTTGTTTTTTAACGTTTTTATGCCTTGTAAGCGTTTGATATGCTCAGATGCTGCCACGTGTGTTTCTTTATCTGATTTGCATCCGTTGGATAAACATAACGATGACATGTGGAAGAAAAAAATTCACAAACCAGCTTGGATTTCTGCGTACTGTTACACCGCCACTCCCCTTAATGATATTTTTCAAAGGTCGAAAATATAATATATATATTTTTTTTAAAGTGGGTCGAAAAATATTAGTACTACTATACTATGTATTTTTAACGTTTTGCAAAAATATAAGAAAAAAACTTTGAGGTTTTCGTTTTGTCGAGTTTTAAGAAAATAATAAAAATGAAAATGGACGAGTTTGGCTATGTTCGAGATTG